CAACCACGACCATCCACGCCCAGTGTTCCCTGCCGGACCTCAACCACAGCACACAGCCACAACCACAATTACAAACACATAACCACAAGCACAACCACAAACACACAACCACGAACACACAATCACAAACACAATTACAAGCACACAACCACAACCACAACCACAAACACACAACCACCTACACACAATCACAAACACAATTACAAACACACAGCCCCAAGCACAACCACAACCACACAACCACAAACACATAACCACAAACACACACAAGCACAACAACAAACGCACAACTACAAACACAACAAGAAACACACAATCACAAACACGCAACTACAAACACAACCAGAAACACACAACCACAAACACAACAACAAACACGCAACCGCAAACACACAACCACAAACACAACCACAAGCACACAACCACAAACACACAACCACAAACACACAACCACAAACACACAACCGCAAACACAACCGCAAACACACAACCACAAACACACAACCACAAACACAACCACAAACACACAACCACAAACACACAACCACAAACACACAACCGCAAACAAACACAACCACAAACACACAACAACCACACACACACAACCACAAACACAACCGCTAAAAACACACAATCACAAACACACAGCCACAAACACACAATCACAAACACAACCACAACCACAACACAGCACGCAACCACAACCACAACACACAATCACAGCACACAACCCGAGGACCCGCAAGCAAAATCGAGAACTACAATACTCACGACCATGGCAACATGCTCCTCACTATGGCATCGGGACAAATGATTGAAATGTCATGGTGGGGATCACTCGAAGTAGAGTAATGTTTTTTGCATTCTTTTTTTCTTTCGAGAATGGTTCCTTAATTTAAACAGGAACTATTCCTTTGCTTTCACAAATAATGTTCAAACCAGTGTCAGGAGAAGGATAGGAGCCGGAGTCGAGGAAGAGGAGGTCACAGGCAAGGGGTGTTCTTTTGTCTTGCAAATTCATGAGGGTTTCTATTGAAAGCATCTGCAGGGAGTCCAATATCAGCATTGGGGCAGTTGGTGTATTACAGGCTGATATCCAGAATCCACTTTTGTAACATACAAAAAGTTGTATTTTGCAAGTTTGGGCCACCCCTCAACTGCAGTTGTGTTTGATGTTCGCCTCATGTTCGGTTATGTTGGATGCTCTAGTAACTGTGCGGAGGGGGCAAGGAGCCGGTCGACACGCCCAGGGATAGAGGTGATAGACGTGACGGCGATAGACGTGACGGAGATAGAGGTGATCGAGGTGGACGTGATCGTGATCGTTGCCTGACCTGAGATCTTGTGGGTTGGGAAGTCTCTAAGCACTAGGAACAAGAAGCTACTAGGAGTAAAGGGCATCGCTACTAGGAGCAAGGACACTACTAGGGGCTCCTGGCCTTACTACTAGGAGCATTCTTGCTACTAGGAGCAACTATTGTAAGTTTGGTTGACGGGGAACGTGCTGACAAGGCTGGATGTGTTTTTTGGTGGGGCACTGGGAGAATTTCTTGCAGTACCTGGCAGTATTAGGTTATTTCTTGGAAGTATTCCTCAGCTGTTCTGTGGTGTTCAAAAGCCCATATCTTGCAGTGCAGCCTGACAATTATCTCGGCTAGAGACCTCAAACATATGCTCTGAGAAGTTTAGAGTGTATACTCAACTTGGTATTGGCACTACTTGGGGGAAGAAAACCAAAAACGCCCGCAAGGAGACGTGATACACTTCCAGATGGCCATTTCTGCCATTCCTGAGGCGATCGTGACCGGGACCGGCGAGGAGACGATCGACGAGACGCTTGGCCGAACAACGGGAAAACGGAAGACAGGACCTAGGTATCACAGGGTTCAGGAGTGTCCTGGTTCTGTTTTACTTCTACCAGGAGCAGAACCACCCCAGTTGGATCATTGAACGGTTGTACCCACAAGTTGAACCCTGAAGAAGAGTCCAACATTTTGGCTTTTCACTCTGCATGAGCCGTGGGTTTGTGGCATTTGCTTACCTAATCAGTGAAACCGGCACTATGTGTCACTCTCTTTCAGACACCCATCCCAGGATCGCGAGCGCGGGGGGGATCGTGAAGGCAGGGATGTTGTGCGTCGCCTCACCTGAAGAGAGACCGCTCTCTCTACTGAATACATGTTTTGAGGTAGGTCTCCAAACTTTGTTGCATTTCTGGATTTGTAGGCCTTGGGATTTGGAAGGGTTTCTTTCCTGCTGGTACTTTGTTTGGAATGTCTCTACTCGTTTCCCTAAAGCAGGCATTTCTCAGAACAACGTAGCACTTGTGACTGCATTTGCTCTTTTCCGGTTTTGGTCATATTTTGCAAAACCTCTGTAAGACCATTGGTTTTCTTGAGCCATTGGCCCATCCCTCACCATCCCTCTTCCAATTCAATTTCTTTGACCGTGACTAGGTGGCAGGTAGCCGCAGGTCAATTGGCGTCGGCCTCATCGACAGATTCTGTTCAAGCACATGGAAGTGTTTTTTGTAGGTTCGAAGCTTTGTTGTAGAAGGGTTGAGCATGCAAAACATGGCACCCGAAAACCGGCGGCAGCATCGGCATTTGAGGCTCCAAAGAATCAAAGAATGAGAGATGTTTTGAGGCCAAATGGCCAAGAAGCCGCTGTGACAACGTCCTGAATTTACATAGAATGGCAGATCAGTTTTATGTATATTCTTAGATTCATATATATATATATAATAACACAATATATTACTATATATATATATAGATGATATACATTTTTATGGGGCCACATTTAGTTTATGATGCAAAGTGGGTAAAGGCCATTAAATTGACATCAGTACAGGACGTTTTGGGCATCACAGCCAGAAACATGCGCATGAAGAAAGCAAAGAGTGCAGCCTGAGCCGTCATAGGGCAGGAGAAATGCGGACGGCTCTAGACGTATTGGTAAATGTGGTGTGCACCCCGCAAAACGTGGTTGCTCCCACTTGGCAGGGATGGCGCTGTCATTCTCGAAAAGGGCCGCCGCCGCCGACGCCGACAAGCTTTCGTAAGTAAAGTCGTGAGGCTTTCAAAGCATGGTTAGAGAGTTACAGAGTGTAGTTTTCAATATGCTCGTGCCCATTTGAGTCTCTTTGCACTTTAAAACATTTTATTGTTTGGGGTTTCGCTCCAAGTCTATGCTTTTTTGTGATTTTTTGTGCGCAGGACTGAAGTAGTATGGTAACGGTGCCTCATAGTACCTACCGCTCATGACTTCTTTTTAGTGGAATCTTTGGAACAGACATGCCCAAGGCAGAAGCAGGCCTGGTGGGGTGGATGGGAAAGGAAAAAGACAGAACACGGGCATTCTCCAGACATCATGTGCCCACCCATTTCACTCCAACTTGACAGAGGACCAGTGGATGCGATGCTTCGTAGAATGCAAATCTCCAGTCTCCAACTTGTAGATTCACGAGAAGTCTGCCAGGCACTCCCCACCAAATTCATGGATGGACTTTGACACCAGCCAACAACTTCTGAGTGTTTGATAGCATTCACCACAATCCTCAGCACTGGCAAGGCTTGTTGCCTGGTTTTGGTTTCGCTTTCTATATTTGAGGCCCGCAAATGGGAAGAGAGCAATGGCAGATGATGCAGGCAGAAGTGATGTGGAGAGGTGTTCGGGACTCGGCTCTTTGGAGAGCCTGTTTGAGATGCAGAGACTGTTTTCAGTCAGCCAGACATCTATGACGCAAGTCATGTGCATACCTCACGCCAACTGCCCTGACATGAAAATTGACCTTTTGAGCTCAATGTTGAGGGGAGTGTCGCGGAGTGTCCAGTCTAGGGTGATTTGGACCTGCTGGATTTGCTTTGACATCATGACATCAAGGGTGTATCCGCCTCCAGTCGCTCACACCAGGAAGAACAAAGGTCATTGTACAAAAGTCAATTGGACAAGGCCAAATTGTTACCAGCCATGTTTGATTGATTTCATAGCACTTTTGCCTTAGCACAAGAGCCTACTAGGGATGGTGCAACCTACCAAAAATCCGATCCGTAGGGTCTACCTGTTGCACGTGGCCGATCCCAACACACCAGCCCTGCGGGGTGTCGATCCGATCCCAACGAAGACCTTCTTTTGCACCGATCCGATGCACCAAGGGCCCACACGCTCCGTTCGTAGCGCTGCCCTTTGCTCCTAGTAGCTTCTTGTTCCTAGTAGTAAGGCCAGGAGCCCCTAGTAGCGTCCTTGCTCCTAGTAGCGATGCCAGGAGCCCCTGGTAGCGTTCTTGCTCCTAGTATCACTAGAAACCACCAACAGTTTGCCAGATACCAACATGTCCCGTAAGGTCTTTCAGTGAAAAATCAGGTCAGTCCCTTCCTTGATGTGCTGCCATAGGATGCCAGCAGCTCGCCAGTGACATCGCCTACGAGCGACCAGTACAGAGAGCAGGTGAGCGACCACCCCGAGGGCCATTTGGGGTCTACTGCAGCGATGGCCTCCAACCTAGTACTGTAGCCGATGGCAGAGGACTCGAACCTGTGTTGAGAGGACTCGCCTGCCCTGGAAAGCGTTCGACGCGTTCGACGCCTCCATGCTTCGCACACTGACGCAAGTGCGCGTTTCATGGCCAACACTGTTTTGGTGGGTGGGACAGTGGAACATGATAATGGCTGCCCTTGGAGGCGAACATGACTTTGTATAATGTCCAAACACAAAGGATTTGCATCGGAGAGGCTTCTGCAGGTTGTGACCTGCAGCATCCAGTATGGTCATCTACTGATACACCAACTGGGGAACAGGCAAAAGCTACACTCCCAAAAGGATCACAGGTGGCTGCCACCTCCAACCAAGAAAGGCCGTGTTTCTTTGGGTCCAAAGATGTCAAGTTCCCCCTCTCCTTCCTCCGAAAAGTGCCGTTGCACTGGCATGGGTAGACATCTGCATGTTGCTGAAGATCCATCGGGGTGCCCGAAACGACGGTCTCCCGTGACCAGGTGCGACAACAGTTGAACGAGAAGTTGCAGAAGGAATCGAGACAGGCAAGGCAGTGCGGGTCCATCGCCGGGTACAAACCCCTTGGTTCGCCGGTTTTTGGTGCGAACTATGACGTCACACTCACATGCCACAAGGTCCCAGCCCCAGTTTCTTGAGACTTTGGGGAACAGCAAGGCTGTTTCAGGTGGGTGTTGTAGCATTCTTCGATTGACATGGCCGCACAGTACAGGGCACCAATCTTGGGAAGTGGAGTGTCGCACTGACTCCCATTTAGTCTGATAGATTCATTGATGAGGAATGACACCCTCAGACATGGTTATATAAATATATACTTGTATCAGAGAAAAAGCATTGGGTCGAGTCGTTAGCATCGTTTTGAGACATCCGCACTGAGCACTTGTCAGTGTTGCCTTGTTCCAGCCCAGCATTTTGGAGTGAAGGAGGCCAATTGAATGGGCCCTCCAGAGCAGATGCGTTCTTTTCCCTTCGGTTTTAGGATTCATTTCACGGATTCATTCCCTGAGCAGTTTGCACCAGTAGCTGCTACTTAGCTTGTCATCCATCAGTGTCCGGTTGTTCTTTTGAAGTTCAAGGACGGCGACAGAAACCCGCGAGAGCAGCCCCTTGGCCTGCTTGTGGGTGATTCTTTTGAGACGATCAACTAGCCTGAAGTCGAGTGAAAGCCTTGGGGTGAGGTTGCTTTCCCCTCGCATGCACACATGAATAGTGGAAGCCAGCGCTCGGCATGGCACTTCCCAGACCTAGAATGACACTGAAGAAGCACGGTTCACTGCTTGGTCATGGCCCTTGAATACTCACATGTTGAACCAGGGGAAGTCGAGCACTTTTCGAACCAGCGATCCGTGAGCTGAGGGTGAAACAGCAGCTCCAACTTCAGGAGCCATGGCCTCGGGTCCACTGCAGGTGACATCTTGCGCACTCTAGACGACGTCCCAATGAATCTTTCAGGGTCTGGATCAGTCACAGACTTCTCGGAGCAAGTGCAAGCCTTTATTGGTGGATGCTTACACCCTTACAAAAGAGTTGGATGTGCGTCACAACTGACGCAGCATGTCAACCCAACTTCTCTGAGGCACATGCACCGTCACCTGGAAGAGAACATGCAGATGCCTGTGGCTCAAGAAGTGGGCCGGGTCAGACTGCCGGTGGAGGAGTAAACTTCAAAAGGCACGGAACATGATTGTGTGGAACTAGGAGTCGAGTCTAGTCTAGCCGTCACGAGCCAATCGCCTGGTCCATCTTTTGAGAGTCAACATGCCAACAAGATCCTATCACCGTGAGCACAAAGACGCCAGCCCATGTGAAGTCATAGACACCTTCATTCGTTTGCCCCCAATTGGATTGCCAATGCCCAAGGTCTTGGCAGGCGCGTCTCAAGACGTGATCTGAGATACGCTGAAGTATTCCGAAGCTGTCAGCCACTGTAAGCCAATGTTTCCATGGTGATCAAGCCATTCAGGAATCCATTCTTGCAAGCCCCTCTCCCAAAAGGTGTGGTGTTTTGCTCTACTCCTAAGTTACCCTTCAGAGCAGGACCCAACAACTTGTGAACACAGTCCGTCCGCCAGCAGGCACCACAGGAGCAGATGCAAGGCTCAATGCAGCCCCTGGCCACTGGGCAGCATTGCTGAATTTACAAGCAGGTGACACCAAACGTGAGGCGGGAATTCACAGGCCAACGGGAGCCTGGGGCAACCAGCAACCCATGTTTGCAGGTCATTTCAACAGCCAAGGTGTTTGTTTCTTTGTTTGTTTGCTTTGTGTGTCTTTTTGTTTTATGCCTTTGTTGAGTCTCCAATGCAGTCACGGGGCCAAATCTTTGGAAGACTATTATGGACTTCCTGGTCCAGAAGTTACACTGTGCATGCAGGAAATCAACAAACCAACGAAGCCAGGTGTTCCTTTGACTATCCATTCATGGGGTTCCGTTCAACGGCTTTGACTTTGCATCCTCCCATTTTTCGGTCCACAGAGTTGAATCATTTTTCGTTCATGGGGTTCCGCACTTCGGATAGGTTGGAGGCTGTGTCTGGGAAACCTTGGATCCGAAGAAACCTTGGAGCCAGACTCGCCAACTACCTGACATTCGGGGTGGTGAAGTGCGGAAGAGTTCGATGCAACGATTGTGGCCTGCATCCTGACCCGTCCCTTGTTGCTTCTGCGCAGGACGCTTCTGCCGTGTGCTGTCCTCAGAGACCTGCAACCTTTGCCAGGCAGTTCTGTTTATCATGACATCTAAGCTGAATCTAAGCCTGAAGTAATTGTATCGTTTCAGTTGCCTGCGTCTCAGCCGTTCTCATGATGTCACAGGAGCTATAGAGCTCTCCAACTGGAATCCCTGAGGACCAGGCAACTGCAGTTCGCACAGATGCAGTCTCAACCCAAGCCGCGTCCATCCTGCTGCAAAAGGACGTTTGAGCTTGCCAGACTTGCGAACAGTTTGTGAATGTTTGTTGTTTGGATGGGTTTTTTCCTCATATTGGAGGATCCTCCTCGGAAGTTCCAGCTTCGTTTGATTCTTTGGTCTGGTCGCCCAACCCCACCACAACTTCCTAGGATGGTGCCGGAGGACACCTTCCTTCAGCAGGTTCGCAGACACTACTGACTGAAAGTTTGCCACATCCCACACCATATCCGGCTGGGGTAGCTGCTGGGACACAATCTAAATCAAGAGTATATACAGCCAGAATAAATCAGTGGTTTCCTGGCAACTTGACCACGTGCAAAGAGATTGATCAATGCTGCACACAAACTCGTTGTCGCAGAATTTCGCCAGGTGCAACAACAACAGCGTGACTTGTCAATGAGTGAGTCCAGTCTTGTCCCTCTGCTCATTTTCCAAGACTGCCCTGCACCGGGAAGCGCTTCCATTTGGTCGTGACTGAGCAACTGTCTACCAGCAACTCGAAATGCTTGATTGACCCTGTGTTGTGCCCCTAGTCACCTATAGTCTGCGTTGAATGTAAAACTTGCTGAATAATCCAAGGGCCGATGTCGACCAGGTGGAACAAAGGCATTTGTTCAGTTCTTTCCTGTTTGCATAGAAAGTAGAGAGCCAATATGTCCATCATTGCCATGTTCAGGAATATTTGTATTTGTATCCCTCCGATGGGGCAATGGGCGATGAGGCTTCAAGAATGTCCTTGTTATCCACCCTCACAACAAGGGTGCTATTGCGACAAAAAACACATCTTTAAACATCTTAAAACTAGACCTTTTTTTCCACTAGGGGCTCCTGGCCTTACTACTAGGAGCAAGGATGCTACTAGGGGCTTGTGGACTGTGCCAGGATCCGATTTCGTCACAGTGCACTCCATTGCACAGGGAGAGAAGGACCATGGGACGCTTAAGACGCTGGGACGCCCATGGGACGTTTAAGACACCGAGGTCAGCTGCAGAAGCTGCCGCCTCCACCGGCCCAGATGCCGCACCTCGGCTTTCTTGGTGCGAGGGTGGCCGGTGTGAAGCATACAAAGTCAAATGTAAAATACGTCCAACTGTTTGATGCAGAAGTATATACACTGTAAGTTGAGATATTCCCAACTTGCTGGGAATTGATCTTGTTTTAGGCAGTTGCAGAAACATGAGTCACTCTTCTCGTGCAGATGAAGGCTCATTCATCCTTGTGCACGACTTACGGTTTCAGCCTCACTGGTTCAACCCTACCGTCGGGTTTCTAAGTCTCCCGGCCAATAAAAAGAACACAATTGACGGAGATGTTGACGGGGTCGACCTTACAGAATGAAGTCCTTTTGGTGGCCCACACACACAACTGTTGTCCTCGATCCAGTATCCTGCTGTTCAGTGATTGGTCAGATGGCAACCTGGGATTGAGCTCAAGTACGGCCAGAAGTATTTATAAACTTAAACACCATGCCTGTCGCTTGCATTCACCTGTAGTTGCGTGGGTCCACGTCTTGACCCACACCGACTTCGTCTCCAGGCTGCTGCCCCAGCAGCAATGGCAGCGACCCCAGAGTCAACAAAAAAACGCGACTGAGTGGAACTGGAACCCCCGTAGGCCGCAGTAGCATTTTTGGAAAGACGCTGGTTTGATGTGTAGAGCACAACGACACACCCTGTTTATAGAGCAAGGACAGCAAGGATCTTTTCTCTAAAACAACCCAAGCATTGATGCTGTCCTTGGGAAGGGCCAAGGTGACCCCCTCAGCTCACCCAGAAACTTTGAAGTATTTCCCACCCAGCCAGCAGAAGGCTTGCATTTGGAGTACAGTACAAACCCACCTCTCAATACCTCTTATGCCCTTTGCAAAAGGCCCATCTTCTTTGAACCAGCTCGATTCGCTTGGCGACGCTCAGGGGGGCCACCACCCCCGCCCTCACATGCGCCTCTGTCTGGGAGACCTGGACATAACGCACTGGGAGACTCTGTGCTCTAAATCTCAAGTTGAAGATGAACTCCAAGCTACTGTAATTGCAACAGCCTCCACCTAATAGCGAAAGCCTCCACCTAATTGCAATGACCTCCAAACTAATTGCAATGGCCTCCACCTAATAGCGAAAGCCTTCACCTAATTGCAATGGCCTCCACCTAATAGCGATGGCCTCCACCTAATTAATAGCGATGGCCTCCGCCTAATAGCGCTGGCCTCCAACCTAGCGTCAGAATCTAAAGCTTCAAAACAAGTTAGTTGTGTCTTCAAGAATGAGTGTTGAACCGTTCAGCGATCTCAGGGGCTAAGTCGCCTGGCCGTTTTGGCCCTCCCCACAGGCTGGGACAAATAGCATCATGTTGCCGAGGGTGTATGAGTGCCATGTACTAATCATTATTTGGTAGTTGGAGCTTTGGTGTCTTAATCTAGCTGATTGGAGACGGATTGGCCGGAGAGGAGCTGTGGGGCGGGCATCTCCCAGAATATTGTTTAGGCTCGCTATATTGCCAATCTTGCCAAGTACCAGACAGTGACAATCTCCTTTGCTCGTTTGCTCTTGTACTCCAAAATTCTAAGCACTCTTTGCGGTCACTGACCATCCACACTACACGACAGACGACTTTGAAGCCGACCCAAAAATGGAATCTGCCCTGCACTCCGTGATAAATCATATTTTGAGCCAAGCTCGTCGCACTGGTGCACTGGGGCACCTGTGATGTTGGTCAAGCTGAGGCTGAGGTCAGAACAGCACAACAGCCTCAACTCTTCATTTCACGCAGATGCTGACCATGGCCAGACGCTTTCATTTGCACCATACATAATCAAACAGCATTAGTCGATTTAGCCTTCAGCATTCCCTTGCGCCCGTAGCCCTTACTTACTTGTTCCAGCCATGCGTGATTAACGTTTCTGCGGCAGCAGAATCATGGTGCGAAAAAGAATGAAACAGATCATGGAAGAACCACTTCAAGGGCAGTCACTGTCATATTAATAGTGGGAGGGGCAGTCCTTGCTTTTTGACCGCAACCGTTTTTGATTTGAGTCCCTTCTTTTTGAGCTTGCGACTTGAGACACTTCAGACCCTCAGGTGGATTCAGAATCAACTTCCATGTGTGCATACGGATGGTGAGTTGATGTGCGCAATTTGCTTGGACCAACTCCATTTCGATGAACGAGTGAAGCAGCTGCCATGCCAACACTGCTATCACGAGGAATGCTTGATGACATGGGGATCCCAGAGATTCTGCAGGGAGTTTAGCACCTCAGCACTCGTTTGTCCTTTTTGCAGGCAAGAGAACACATTTTCGATCATTTTCGCATGAACGCGTGAACTGAACAGTTTGACAGAAATGATGCAGAATGAGAGCAGTTCAATTGAACTGCGATGTTGGAGGCATGTGCTTGAACAGAGCTTCCCGAGACATCACTGCAGGTAGATTATTCATTTGTGCTGTTGTGTGAGCCAGTCGTTTGTCATTTTTAGGAACAAGTCTTAGACAGTTCCCATTGTTACATTGTCCATCTTGTCTGTGCATCTGAGTCTGCTCTCATGGGACATGGCCCTGGGCGCAGCTCCTATGCATCCTCGCGCTTCAGCTTGAGACAAAATCCTGACCAGAAGATTGTGGGAATTCTTTGTGGGCTGCTCCACCGTGTAACAGTCATGAGTCATGAGGCATAAACATTCATCATTCATCGTTGACGCGCCTTTGTATGCCTTTGTCAAAGAACGTCAATTATATAGAAAGTTCCCAGTCGTGACTTGTTCTAAAAGGGGTTGGGAGAGCATGCGTATCTGTATGCCAGACAGGAATTTCAGATCCCTGGGCCACTTGTTTGGAAGCCAAAAAGCGCCGACCGATTGCCAGGTCACACAGTGATCAGGGAGTGATGTACCTTTGTAAATCTGCCAGAGCTTTTAATGACTGTGGGAACGCGAATACCGCAAAGAGATGTTTTATTTTAGTCCTTTTTATTTGTGTGGATGATGCCAGTGTTGGTTGCTGCAACAGACCTTCTCAGGCATGCACTAGGTTTGGCAACCAAAACGTCGAGGAGTTGTCAATCAATCTGTGAGAGGAAGCTGACCTTGTTCTGTCATTGGTTTTAGTCTTGTGTGTTTTTTGATGACACAGTCGTTTTGAACTCAAGGAGGCTCAATAGCTATGAATTGCTGGAAGTCCAGGGCCTAGGCACCAAAAGAGGTTCCACTATGAGGATGTCCACAAGGTATAGGGGGTTTTCATTCAACCTTCTGTGGACGGGAGTGATTCTCCTCAACGCTAGCGGCCTTCGCTTGGACGCTTTTGCCAACTGCCAGTTTTGGACTAAGAAACCGCTCTATTTACAATGATGGTGACTTGGAGGTGTCTTTCTACTAGCTGGCCAAGAGGCATCTCTTAGCTGAAAGCTGGATGATCCACATCCCAATAAGACCGTTTCAGAGATGTGGTTCGCATCCTCCATCTCTTTGGTCTTCTTGAGACCATCCATTCGCTTCCCTCAGTTCTCGGCTCCCCCAAAAGACCGTTTTCCAGGGCATGAAGTCCAGCCTGTGGCAGCCCCGTGCAGCGACGAAAGGGCCAACGAAAGGGTCCGACTCGGAAGGATGAAACACCCACAAAGCAAGAATCCCTGTCCTAAAATGGGGTCATCATAGTTGCTTACTTGCCTTAGCAAACATTTTATATTCCTTGGAGAACGGCAAGAACTGTACCAAAGAAAGACTTTATGGGTCATGTCCCATCAGTACTTGCGAACGACCAATTGCAACCCAACAGCCGGTTTCACTGGGTACCGGGGTTTTTGTATCACCACTGAATGAGATCTTTGCAGTCATCCCCAGAACAAAAGAAAACACTGGACACATGTCTCAAATCTGAAGAAGACATTGGGGGATGCCTTAGACTTGGTGAGTACTCTATTTGCAGGAATCCATCCTTGGACGACAGCTTGCACGAGCTTGCATGTATCCAGTTTAGGTATGTTTAGGTACGGAACACGGGGCTGCAGAAGGTAGCTTAGCCGTCAATGACCTAGGCCATTGTCTGCATTGATTAAGCGTAGCACCAGGTTCGGCAATCGAGCCTGTAGGAATCAATTTAAGGTCTGAAGAAAGTCCAAACTCCTAGACTTTAAATTGTACATTTTGCAGTTCACCATCGTTTTTGCCAAAGAACCAGCGCAATCTTTTGGGAAATCGAAAGGTAATGGAAGTGGAACTGGACTTCAGGGCATGATGGTGAGGAGAAGAGCGACATGAACTAGGAGTAAGCATACAGCTCTCCCAAGTCAAAAGACTTCAGACAGGAGGAGAATCTATTTGTCATCAAGTCGCTTGCAATAACAGGACTCTCTCAATTGTTTTTTTCTTGGTCAGCAAACATTTTACACCGAACAAAAGGATCCATTAGATTCCGAACCGCTGATCTGATTCTTCAGCAGCCTGCATTTCACATGGCTATCCTGAATCTCGATTCAAAAAGGCAGAGCGATCTAGAGCGTTTGCGGAGCTTGCTGGCGCTCAGGAAAACCCTTCTTGCTGATGACTTCGGATTGGGACCTCGTTGGACTTGATAAGCTGTGAAAACGGCCGGGCCTCGCAAGAACGATCAGCCACCATAGAGTTTAGGAGTATTTAGGAGTATTTTCTACACCATGAGCCCCGAAACTTGCGGCCTTGGCCCAGTCGGACCAGCGTTGGCTGAGGTCCAGTCAACAGGAGTGGTTCAAGATTGAATTAGGACAGGCGTGTTTCAGGACCAATCCAGATCATGGGATCATCATACTGTTATCATATTTGACATCATTCTTGAAAAGGAATCACAGGACATCGGCTCTGGTAAGAAGGGGATGTTTGATTTTTTGGGGACCCTTTGGCCAGAAGGGGGTGTCTTGATTGCTTGGCACTTGTCATGGAATTGATGAACACCCACAAGTCCAAAAGACAGACCGGATAGGCACAATCATGCTGACATCCGCCGACTCCAGGCATTGGCCATCCATGAAGCGTTGCAGAATAAAGCCCATAGTGCCATAGGGCCGCGTCAAAGAATCATATCTGCCCGTCATTGTGATAAGCTGCAAGAAAACACAAGCCCATTCCCAGGTTGTAGGATCCTCTTGGAAAGCGTCACTAGACTCACTAGACTCTCTCAAACGCTCTCAAACTTTCCACAAATCATTTGAACCCCGCACCCAACGCACGCCGATCGAGGAAGAGCAGATCCACAAAAAGCGAGCACAGGGCATCCCAGAATTCGCATCCCAAAGTTCAATTCAAACCGGACTACTCCATCGCTACTAGGGTGGAGGCCATCGCTATCAGGATCAAAACGAAAAGAATCGGAAGAAGATGCATGTTTTACACCCCATTTAGGCAAAGCCGATGGAGCCATGGCAGAGCTTCCCCCTGGGTTTCGGCACCTGCCGACGGTGGGGATGCTGAGAAAGGTTTTGCGATCAAGCTTGTTTCTACTAGCTTCTTGTTACTACTAGTAAGGCACTTGTTACTAGAAGGGATGCACTTGTTACTACTAGCTTCTTGTTTTGCCTCAGAATCGGTTGCAAGAAGTCCTCATGAAATCTCCTCACACCTTGACAGCACTCGAAGCCACAAATTCGATGACCCGCGAATGCTGCCAGGTCCCCCGCACTGGCAGAGCGACAGAGATCTTGCCGAGAATCTTATTGACCACCTGTAGGGAGGCCAAGAGGTGACAACAGAGAGGTCGGACTGGTGACGGGATGCCGTCAAATCCAGATGCCGTTTCAGCCTACTACCCACTTGCGCGGAGCATCCCAGAGCTGCCAAGGGATCCTCGCGCGTAGGGGATAGGTGTGAGAATATGTGTGCCTTGAAGTAAGAGATTTCGGGTTGAACATGACAAGGCCTTTGGATTGTTCCTTTTTCTGCTTGAGGACTACATTAAGACTAAGCCCACGTCATGCGTTCAATTCTGCTCAGCTCAGGTCCAGACACTTTGCGGAACAAAAGGCCTGCAGCCCTCCCTCTGGCTACCTGGTGGTGCGAACGTGGTGGAATTTCCAACTCATGGCCCTCATGACCTGGTTCTCAAAAATATAGATGAACTTGTCCAAGCGACGAAGCACCTGGTTGTGAACGTGTTTCGGGCTACAGTGGCTACAGCCGCTTTGAGCTTATGTGTTGGTTCATTTGTCCAAGTCGTGGTCTCAAAAAGAAGAGAACACTTCGTTTTCCAAAAGGGTCTAAGGAACTGCAGGGCAAGAAGTTGCATCCCGACGACACAACCATCCCAAAAACGCAATGTCCCTTGGAGGACAACATTGAGAGACCCACCGCTACCACTGCCAGCTTCAGCGCCAGTCTGGCGCCACCGCGAGGCGTAAGCAGCAGCTCGCATCCCAGCCCCTTTGTCGGGGAGCATAGGGCAGCATCGAATGTGCATCCAAGTCGGAAGCGACTCCAGCGCCTCTGGCTGGATCGAGCCCATCTATTTTTTTCCCGGACAATAAGGTGTGTAGGTACCAGGATTTCTGATGCCCCCATCTTTGTGAGCCAGCCACAGAAAGCATGGAGTCGAGCGTTCTTGATCATGTATTGAGGTAAGCGCAAGTGATCCGGAGCCGTCCGGCCTATGCTTGCATGAGATGACGACACTTTCTGGGTATGCACGTGCTAGGATTGTAAGTTCCAGTAGTCTCTTTCATCTCTTGTGACGGGTGGGACTCCTGGATTCCGAAACCAATTCTGCATCTGAGAGTCAAACAAAGGTCAACTTCAGAACTGGGCAGGTTTTCTCAAAAAGAGCAACTTCAACGAACTCCAAAAGTCAAGTTGAAGTGAACTGCCCACAGAACATCAACCGACCTTCAATGAACTTCGATTTTTGACTGTCGCTTCTCCTGTCTCCAGCTGGTATCGGGTGAGGATGGAGGTTTGTACGACTGAGGCCCGAAAGGCTTGCCCTTCAAACGCTCGCTGGGACCTCGGTGCGACCGGTTGGGACACAGAGCAACCAGACACAAGTCGATTGGCCAGCGACTTGAGTTTTTTTTGCTCAGTTTTCTACAAGGCACAAGAGCATCGCTGTAAACAAGGGCATCGCTACTAGTAGCAAGGACGCTGCTAGTAACAAGTACATTACTACTAGAAGCTACTAGAAACAAAGGGCATCGCTACTAGTAGCAAGAAGCTACTAGTAGCTCTTTGGTCATGTCGAATGACGAGTCGACCGATGTCTTTGGACTGCCTTGGAGCCGTCTCAGGAGCAAGGTGTCCAAAGAAAAGGCACCCAGCTTCGGGCAGTTCCTCATTCAAGAGGAGAAGGGGAGATGGTGTTTTCTCATGTTTTCTCTTCCCTCTTCCGTCTGTTGTTCCTTCCTTTGAGTTCTTTTTTCTCTGTTTGGTATTGCTTGGTGTTTCCTGTTTTTGGGTGTTGGCCTTTCCGCTGACGAGGTTTCGGGAAACGGCAGGGTTTTGAAAGCCCAGGCGAGGCCAGATTAAGCTAGGGCAATCGCAACGTCGTACATCACACCTTATGAACAGCCGACTTGTTTGGACCATCCAATTCATTGGGGTTTGTTCTACTCTATGCAATAGATACTGCAAGTAGAATTGAGTATACGCAGTATATATTTCCAGGGTGTGCGATGTTAGGTGGTTCGTGGAGCTTACTGGCTGGCGATGCCTTATTCCATCTTATTCCGAGTTCATGCTCCCGGAATATACAGTAACTGGTAAAAAAAAGCATTGGCAAGAAATCATCGTCTGAGCATAATGACACTGTATTGCAAGGAGATGACTGAATTATCATGCTGGCGCGATGACCTGATACACCTACCAAGAAACAACGATTGCTTTCCTTACTCATACAGCAGCCATAGCACAACAAAAAACAACTGGCAGGATGCGAGATGTATGCTTCAAAATCTCTCTTGAAAGATCTCTCTTGAAAGACTGAGAATGGACTGCATGGTCCACATTTGCGTGTTCGATCTCCATCAGGACCATCTCGCCAAGTTGGAATTTCCAAAGACGGTCTTGGCTCCAGGTGCCGCCACACATGCGGCACATGGCGGTCGAATGCTTTGTTTTCGACCAGGTGCATTGCCATACCGAAAAAGACCATGGAGGTATTCTTAGATTTTGCAGCATCGATTCACATGAGCAGGCAGGGGACTTGCCGACTAGTTGATAGCACAGCATATCCCAGTTGAACTAGGGCACTACGGCGCACTTGCGACCATTTAGCTCGCCTTTTCCTGGCCAGGTGGTGATTCAGGACAGCATGATGTCGTCGGAGCCTAAAGGGGTCGAGTTGGCTGGCAAATCTGGTCGTGTCTGGTGGTGCGGCAATGCGCGGTTTATCCTCCAACCACAGGGATATACCCAGTCAGTTTCAGTTGAGCTTGGCAGAAGTTCATAGCTTGGCAGGTGAGCTCAATGTGAGCTCGTCTATTGGAGCCTTGAATTCGATACTGGAGCCGTGTTCGATGCTCATTGGGATTCAACTCATCAAGTACTGGAACTAGAGAATTGTGGGCATCCGAGCCTAATTTAAAAGGTGTGCGAAATTGATGTTTGATGTGAGGCCACTAGAACTTCACACCCATCCTGCACAAGAGGAGGTTGATAACAGGGAGCTAGTCAGAATCCTGATGGGGTTTGCATCATTTATGTTTAAATCACACATGTTGTCAAGTCTTTTTTTGGATCCACAAGAAGTCATGTATTCCAAGTTCACTGATGACAGGTTTGTTCAACTGTGAATGGTAGAGCACTGAAAAGTGCCCAACAATCCAGAGTGCTGTGGTCCGAAACCATGCGACCCGAACCGTGTTCACCCGTGTGGGATCCAAGTCGGACCGGGCGGACCTGTTGAGGGCTTAGCCTTGAAGTCCGTGGAAGAGAGCAGCCTGATGGACTCTGAGAAGGCGAGAATTGAAGGGACTCGAAAGAACAAAGGAGCCTTTCTCGCTTGGCCCTTCTCCTCCTTGTTTTTCTTTAAAATCAATTGATGTCAGGACCTTGTTTTGGGATGAGATGACTGTTTTGGGGTGCAGAAGCCGGCGGACACCGCTGGTGTCCCAAGTGCAGTGGGTCCCAAGAACTGGACATTGGACCTCGGGTCCACCGTGGCGAGGACGTCCTTGCCTCTCTCACCAGCCTTTGGGACGAGTCCTTGATGCCGCTCGGCTTACTCTTTAAACCAAGGAGAGTAATCCAACCTACTAGCGATGGCCTCCAACCTAACAGGTGATTCCCCAAACAGAAAAGGGATTCCCCCATATGCTCCATAGTATTTCCGTTTGAGTATACAAAACGTGGGACTCTGGCTGCACTGCGCTCGATCCTTGCCTAAGCACATGAGACGGTTCGGTGAATATCAAAACGTTCCTAAGACTTTTCGGGACAGCTATGACACAGCTACAGAGGTGTAAACCAACTAAGCCACACTGGCCTGATTTGCGAATCATCACCCTCCTGGACCATGTCCCCAGTCTTGCTCTCGCCCACAAAGAGACAATCATTTTTTCACCCCTACAAACTCACAAGCGACTTCTGTTTGCTAAAATACTTGTGCCATTGTAGATCAGAGTAGACTGCCGAGAAGAGGGTATTGCATCTCAAGCACAAACCACGGCTTTGAGCCGCGGACTTCGACTTGTTCATTTCGCACCGACCATCTCTCCATTTGGATCGCGTCCTTTCTCCGTCTTCTGAACGGGGAAGCCACACGGGGCACCCACCGGGCGCCAAGGGATCGGGTGGATCGCTTGGACCTGGAGCAACCCATGGTGGCTCGCTCCACTGAGCTGGTGGAGTCGCAGGAGCCGGGAGAGCCCAGTGTGGCGAATCCCTTAAAGGTGGCTTGTTTCGACAAGGCATGTTTTTTTGAGGATAGAGTCAGGAATCGGGAAATGGGTGAGCTTGCCAAGTATAGTTCTGTATGCATGGAGAGGAGATCCTCCTATGAAGACAGACATGCAAATCTTTGTCCATTTCGTGGGGTGACTGCAGAACCCACCTGTTCAGATTCAACACCCAAGGCGGCCAAAGTCGCGAGCAAGGTACATGTGAATCATACCGGAATCACACCCCTTTCTGGACAGTTTTGCATGTATTTTCTCCATGACGTGGTTTCTCAAACTCCCACCCTTCTTTCCTCACGACATTTTCCTTTTCATCAAACATCAGCAGTACTGACTGGACTTCTTTCTGACTGGCCAGTTGACCAGCACTTCTTCCAAGGCTTTTACCTAGTTCTCGGAGTTGGGCAGAGCAGCAGGCGTACTGTTGGTCCTCAGAACAGTGCGTACCCGTTGGGCCACACGCGGACAGTGGGGTTAACAGGCCACTCCAGCCAACGTGCTTATTGGTTCTACACCGGGCCCTGCCAGTCAGGAAAGCAAGCAGCATAGATATAGGGTTTTGAAGCTAAGGCTCTGACTAGACTTGACTAATATTACTTGTTGTTTTGCTTTAGGGTGTTCTTCCTTCACCAAGCATGAAAGTCTACTGACAAGAAGTGAACGCAAGAAAGGGTCATCATCTAAAGCAAGGAGCATCGTCTAGGTTCTTCAGGCCACTGGTTACCGTTCTCCCAGGCAGATCATTGATGAGTTCTCGCAATGGGAGCAGGACATGACATTTGTTTGGCATATCACTCGAACTGGATTTGCTTGTTTTGATGATGACCAGACATGATGCATTGCAACAAGCTTCGCCCCAGACTTGGTGCCACAAGCTCTCAAAAAGGTACCTTCTTTCGTGCTGCGAAGAGCCGGCAGGATGAACACTCCAAACGCTGGGGAATACCACAGTCGCCGGGGCCCCATGTTTTTCATTCATGATATGCAAGGAATATCGAAGAAAAAACGCACGACACGCGTGGTGGGATTCCTGGGAGCAGTTGCCACATACAAAGTGTTTCCAGAGAACCACACCATGATGTTGATTAATTCGATGTAGGTTAGTCTTTCCTTGGACACAGGCAGAGATCCATTGCAACCTGTACACGACTCCATACTTTGACGCCACTCCCTCCAGACGAATAATTGTGTGTTAGTTGAGCTTGGGATTCTCCACAATTTTCGTCCTTTGGGACCTGTCATCTCTCGAGCGCCAAATGATTCTCAAAAGGCCATCGGCACCAATCAGCTTCCCAGAGAAGCCATGCTCAGGAGCCTCGGAGGACGTCTCCGAGCCGAAACCGCCGAAACCTGAGTTTTACAACTGCTGCGGCAGCAGCGGGGTCGTGGTGATTTTTGGGTGTTTCAACATGGTGGGACTTGAAAAAAACATCAGCCGAGCAAAAAACACAATCAGCATTCCTTGCTGTCGCTCGAAAGTCTGTCTCCAAGGAGCTATGAACGGTTGGGTCCAAAGGTGTTTCCAGGGCTGTGGACGAGCTCCCTCGGGTGGGTCCTCCTTCCGTTTGTTTCGTTGCTCGCAATATGGCGAATTGACCAACAGGAGTTCTGGTGGATCTCTTTTTGTTGAGGTGTTTAAGGACAGCGACGAGGAGTGTGGTATCTCTGAGGCATCCCGAAGCTCGGCTCGAAGACTTACAACGGAGCTTCTCCATCTCCACGGAGGAGGCGCGGAGCGACCAGAAGAACCCCGACTCTCGCGGGGAGCAGTGCGGGTTACGGGAGTTCATGAGTTAAAACCTGGGAAGCATGTTACTAATTTTCTTGTATCAACAATCTAATCTAATTGCTTGCTAAGGGCTATGGGTTCCTTGAGTATAGTTTTGCATGTGGGCGGTATGATATTTACTCATCCCAAAGTACAATCCAGGGACCCTCTTCACTACAGTCAGGAAACTGGAGTGTGCTAAATAAGACCACTGGCAACCTTGCACAACCTGAGGATAGGATCCCTGTTTTGTGGCAGAGCCTAGAAGCAAGCTTGGGCTCAAAAAACATGACTGGTTGAAGGGTCCGAATCAGGTGGTATGACCTTCGTATCGTCAGAGTATCGCTGGTAGCGCATTCTTCTCGGTCTCCCCAACTCCCTTAGACACTTGCAAACTCGAATGTATTTGGCTAGGAGTTTTTCCGTACAGCACCAGGTAGAATCGGTATATCAACATTTATCATTGTATCATCGAGTTGAACTCTGCACCTCAAAGTCGAAAGGGTTGTATCATACAGTGAGTGCATGACGACGAAAAATGGGGACCAGAGGTGTCCAAAACCCACCTCTTAGCCTCTTAGCGTCCAACCACCTCTGACAAACACCTACTGTATTGGAAGGTCCCTGGGAGGCAACTCCTTGTTCTGAACTGAGTCTGGAGGTGGCTGCAAGATTGAAGGATTTGAGGAGGAGACCGGTGGGAGACTTCCACATCGAGGTGCCAGATGCAGGGGTTTCTTGGTTGGTGTTTATTGGGTTGGATGAGGGATGGGAGGGCGGAAGGCTGAACTTGGACGCCTTGAGGAATTGTTGCACTGATACTTGTTCTGCAGGACTTGATGTGAACCCAGATTTTCAACATTTCACTGTGCACACTTGTGGCGTTCATTTCCCGATTAGGACGTCGTACAGATCTTGAGGCGAGACCCTCCCTGTTTCTCTGTCTGGGAACGAGTTTGCTCCTCTTTCCATTTTGCTCTTCCACAACTCCTCGCAAACATTCGCAAATCATACACATTTCTGGCAACTTCTTACACTTCTCCAGATGTGCATTGTGTGCTTCTCCGAACAGTCAATGGTTGCGGGTGACATGATGTTCGGTAATCTCTGAATCTTCGAGTTGCTTCGCAGGGTTGAATGACCCGAAACGAGATCAGACAAGACGATTCAAGCAAGATCGACAAGACGATTTGGTTTAAGAAAGGACGTCGCATATTCAGGCTCGACCCTCTATCCTTCACTACCCTCGGTCGTCCATGACGATTGGGTCTTTCGTCCAAGCATGGCTACAAGACCCTTCAAACCTCAGGGGCAAACATGCAGGGCGTATATTGTAAGGGCTCCGGACTCCGCCTGGTGCCGCCGATCCCTTTTTTCGTGGTGCAGTGGAAAGATCTTTCCCTAAGCATCCAGCGTGGGTAAATATTTAATACATTCAGACCCGTAGGAAGAATCTGAGCACATCACCTTGAAATTGCCATATGTAGGCAGAATATAGGCACATCAATTTTGATTCGAATTCCGATACTTCTTACCCTAGGTAAAAGTGCAGCATCACACTCCCAGCACCCCTTCTCTCATGCGGGCCCACGCTTCACACGTGGATGTTTCACCCGAAGGAGCCACCGCATGCACACACGCAGCTCAAGGGCCTGTCCTTTGTTGTCACATGTGGCATCCCTTGACTAGTAGGTGCACGACACAAGCAAACCAAAAGAATACAAATAGAAAAAGGGTGGGTTGAACCCATTGGCCAGCATCGGTGGACTTTCCTCGCTAGAGCCTTACATTCACCCATGAAGTCTTCGTCACCGTAACAATATGAGTCACCTCACACATGACAGAATAAATACCAAATAGATTTTGTTCGCACTCATGTGGGATTCCAGTCCAGAGTTGGCATTGTTGAAAAACATGAAATACCTACCCAAGGGACGGCAATTCTCTTGAAGTTCTTGCTGCTCCTTCAGGATTTCCATGAATGCCTGAGGATTTGGACCCACATATCCACCCAGGTTGTAACCACATGGGCCAAAAAGACAAAATTCCAAAACCCTCTTCCACATTCCATTTGCTGACATGGCACATGGAGTTTGGGAGGTACAGGAAACCGGAGCAGGCTTGCGAGAAATCAATCCGGCGCAAGCATACGGGCATAGACCGTCGCGGGTGGATGTGTGGTGCCTGGCACGTGGAGCCGCTAATGCAAACCTCTGATTAATAAACAGCCCCCCCCCACATGGAAGGTCAACAAGGTCAAGAAGGTATGAGATACCACTCATGAGGTCCACTCCCCCTGAATAATGTGCTATGAGACCATAGGACCATGAAGGATGATACCAGAGTCCATATAGGAAGCAATGAGCTCATAGTCATAGGAAGCAAGGCACGAGAGGAATTGGCTGGTAACATTTGGGCTCAGAATGGGTATCAGCTGGTGAGCAGGTGAGGTAGTCTCATAAGCCACCATGCTTCTGCACAATGCCTTTTGGGCATTGGCTGATGAGGATGAGGCACCTTGGCTTGAAGTGGGAAGGATGGAAAGGGATGGGATGGGGTGAAAGGGATGGGAGTGGATGAAAGGGATGGAGTTGGATAGGTTTGAGAAGGACCAGGGGGTAGGTATGAGAAGCACCATGGGGGTGGGTATGAAAAGAACCATATATTTACCATAGAGATTGGCTCATCAGCGCATCAGCTTGATCAGATCAGCTCATCAGCCCACCAGCCCATAAGCAATGATTGGTGCCATGATGGGGGCATTGGTCACGGGCATGAGCATGGGAGGCATGGCCCTCTACATCAGACAGGTGAAGAAGGAGATGGGCAAGAGGATGTATGAGGCCATGGGTGAGCTGCATCAGTCATTGTCCAGCATTGAGATGAGGCTGAATATGAATGGCTGCTTGTGGCGAGATAAGGTCAGGCATCTGCAGATGAGGCTGAAATTATTGAGGGGATGGGTGGTGAATGATTGGGATGAGGAGAAGGCTCCTTGCACTGTGGAGATGAGGGTGCCTCTGATGAGGTCATGGCTGCTCTATGAGCATGACACCATGAAGAGCATGGTTTCTGATGAGAAGGAGTCCAACATGGCTTGGATGAGCTTGTGCACATTGTGCTACATAAGCACATTCAAAGTTCTGCTCAGGATCCAGATGGGATTGGATGAGGTGACTGAGAGTCCTTTTGGCAGTGATTGGATTTAAGTTTTGGTTGCTTTGGTAGGGGTATGGTGGGTTATGTCTTTTTGGTGGAGGAGGGAGGGCAGATTTCCTGTGCATGAGGTGGGACCTATGAGCATGGCAAGAAGCCACATGAGCTGATCCATGAGGTGGTTGAGAACATCAAAGCAGCCATGAAGTCCCAGATGTTCCAGATCCATGAGCCTGCAGATGCCACGTATGAGGAGATGATCAGGCAAGACCACAAGATGAGCAATCTGGATGGATTTGAAAGATTTTGGGTGGAGTTGATGAGTTGGTAGGTTTTTTTATTTGAAGATATGGTTGTTTACTTTGCTTTTTGCTTGCCCCACTGAGGATTCAGGCATTGGCTGCTGCATGAGCTCTGTGAGACCTATGAGCTGGAGACCAATGAGCACTTCAAGCCAGCCATGAGCACCCTGAGGGGCCAATGGCCACAAAGGGATGTCATAAGCTCCATCCTCCAGCATGGCAAGTCCATCAGGCCATGAGGCCATAGAAGCATGAGCCAAGAATGGCCATGAGCTCAAAATGAGCATGGGGTAATTTTCCACCAGCTTGGTAAGGAGCAGGTGGCAGCCTCTAGAAAAAGAGTTTTGGGAGGGGGTTGATAGGAATGATGAGGTCCATGCTTGGGAGGGGCCATTGGGGTTGGTATTTGATAGGAACCATTGGGGTTGATAGGAACCATGGGGGTTGAAGAGCAGAGTTGATGAGATGATGCAATGAGATTCTGATAGGAACCATGGGGTTGATAGGAACCATAAAGGTCCAAGAGCAGGGTCCAGGGTTGATGGGATGAGATAGGAACCATGGTGTTGGTGGGAACCATGAGGGTTGAAGAACAGGGTTCAGGGGTTGATGGGGTGAGGTTTTGATAGGATCCATGGGTGGTTGATGGGAGTAGATTTTGATAGGAGCCACTGATATTTAGTTGGTGGGGGCCATGAGTCATGAGTTTCATCCACTGTCCACTGAGGTATTCCTCGATGAGAGCTTTGATGCAGCTGCTCCATTTGGATGAGCATGAGGAGCTTCTGGTGGTGGTGGGAAGTAGGGTTTGGGAGCTGGGTGGAGGGCCATGAGGGTTTGAGAACCAAGAGATTTAGTTGTTTTTTGTTGGTCATGTGATCTGACCATCAGGATTGATGAATATGGGGTTGCAATTGCAATAGATCAGGCCCAAGCATAAGCAAACCAGAAGCAGGACCATAAGCTTATTAGCTCATAAGCTCACCTTGCAATGATGGCATTGCTGATGATGAGTGGCATTGGCATGGGCATGGCCATGGGATACTATGGGATGAGCAAGCTGTATGACAGGCTGTATGAGAAGCTTGATGGGCTGCGTGAGGAGATGAAATCAATCTCCATGAGGGCAAGAGATGTCTCCCACAGCCTCGCCATGGTTGAGGCAAGGTTGGATGAGGCAGGTGGCTCATCAGAGACAGGCTGAGGCACCTGCAGCAAAGGCTATGGGGCCTGAGAGGATGGGTGCTCGTGAGATGGTCAGAGAAACCCTGCCCTACAAGCATGAGGTTGCAGAAGATTAGAAATTGGCTACTCATTGAGTATGATGTGATGAGGGTTGGGAACCATCAGGACCATGAGACCATGTGGGCTGGCATTTGCACATTGGCCTACATCAGACATTCCAGATGATGGTGAGCTTCATGTTGTGCAGTGATAAGGAGGTTCAAAGCCATGGGCTCTATTCCACCATGAATGATGAGGGCAAGAGCAGGGGTGAGATCCTGAATGAGATCAAGGCCAACATTGGAATGTGGCCTCATGGTCATGGTTGAGCCTGGGATGGATCAGTGGGATCAGCTCATGAGAAGGGACAACCCCATGAGATTTGAAATGAGATTGATGGAGTTGATGGAGGAGATCCATGCAATGAGGTCTGATGAGAGATGGCCAGGAACCCATAACCTTGTGCTTGCTGGGCTGAATCATGGGGATGCCATGAGATCCATCCTGCAGACTGCCCACATGGGCTGATGAGCCTGCAGCCTGATGAGCTGATGAGCTGGTTCAGATTTTTTAGAAAATCAGTGCTGTGAGATTGGGTGGGGCCTTGGGAACCATGAGGGTTGGTGACATGAGTGTTGGTATGCCTGGTGCCCATGAGGGTTTGATAGGAACCATTGCCAAGGGGTTGATCGCATGATATATTCCCTTCTCACTGATCCTCCCCAATCAGGGCTCATACCATGAGGGTTGGTGACATGAGGTCATTGCTTAACTTCCCCCATTCACACCTGTCCATGCACCAGGAGTTGATGAGTGGCATTGGGGATCAGTTCTTTGACTTTGATGCCCTGGATGAGCTCTATCAGGCCACGGATGAGCGCAATGAGTCTGCATCTTGGCATGAATGGGTGGGTATGGAAAAGGTTGGGTGGCGTGAGGAAACCAATGGTCATGAGTCATGAGCTGATACCATCAGCGTGTTTGACGTGAGGGTTGATGACATGAGATTTCAATTTCATGGTGGTATGAGTCCTGAGGATGCAGTGGATGAGCCCTATGAGGCTTTGGCTGGTGCTACCTTTGAAGAAGAGCACCATGAGGCTGCGTCTTGGCATGATTGGGTGGGTGTGGAAGAGATGGGGTGGCGTGAGAACACCAATAGTCATGAGTCATGAGATGGTACCATGAGGGTTTTTGGCATGAGGGTTGGTGATTTACTGCAATAAGGCAATAAGCATGAGTCACCTGTCCATGCATCAGGAGTTGATGAGTGGTGGAGATCAGTTCTTTGACTTTGATGCCCTGGATGAGCTCTTATCAGGCTTTGGATGAGCACCATGAGATTGCATCTTGGCATGAATGGGTGGGTGTGTAAGAGGTTGGGTGGCATGAGAACAGGGTTGATGACATGAGATTTCAATAGGTTTCAATTTCATGGTGGGTTGAGTCTTGAGGATGCAGTGGATGAGCTCTATGAGTCTATGGCTGGTGCTGCCTTTGATGAAGAGCACCATGAGGCTGCGTCTTGGCATGGTTGGATGGCTATGGAAGAGATGGGGTGGCATGAGAAAACCAATGGTCATGAGTCATGAGCTGTTTGACATGAGGGTTGATGACATGAGAGTTGAAAAAACACAGTGCATGATAGATCAAAACTATGAGCACCTAAGGCCCATGAGCTTGGTGAGCAGGATTTGTTTGACTTTGACATCAATGAGCACCCCAAGCTGATGCAAGATGGAGCTTGGAATGATGAGAGTGTTGAGTGCAATAAGCCAAGCAAAGACATGATGCTTGCAAAAAAGGTCAGGGCAATGATCTCAAACATGAGGGTGATGAGGTCTAAGGCTTTTGGGAGGTTCATGAAAAGAAGCAGGATTAGCCACAAGATGAGGAGACACATGAGGAACGAGGCCAAACAAGCAAATGAGAGCAATGAGGCAAATGAAATGGGAGGAGCTTTCTTTGATTGGGATGAGCTGGACAAGGCAGAAGGCAATGAGGCAGCAATGATGGGAGGAGGAGGCTTCTTTGATTGGGACAGCTTGGAGGCTGCAGAAGGGAATGAGGCAAAAGGCAATGAGGCAACAATGGTGAGAGGAGCAGGCTTCTTTGATTGGGATAGCTTAGAGGCTGCATGGGAAGAAGCTATGAGGGAGGAGGTCAGGAAGATGAGAAAAACCTTCATGAGAAGCACTGCAAATACCAACATAGAAAACAGAAGCAGCAGGATGAGCTCAAGGTAGGGAGAACAATGAGGAGGAGGCAGCCCATAGAAGCAATCAGGTTGATGCAGCAAGAGGTGAGGCAAAAGAATGAGGAGGCGCTGATGGTTTTCTTGTCATAAGCTTTCCTTGCTATGAGCTTTCTTGTCATGTGTTTTCTTGTCATGAGCTTTCTTGTCATGAGCTGTCTTGTCATGAGCTGTCTTGCAATCAGTTTTCTTGTAATTAATTGCAACTAATTCATTAGTTAGTCATTTGATTAACTAAGGGAAAAAAGAGGGGCAGGGGCTCAGATTAATAAGGGGGATAGTGCATATTATTTAGGGGGACCAGCCCTTGTGAGGGGTACCCTTTGTGAGCTTGTCAAATGATTGTTTTTTTTATAGTTTTTAAAAAGGATTTTATAAAGCCTGAGACCTGAACAGTTTTGGGAAAACCAATTGGAAAGCAGCAATCTTAAGTACACAAAGAAAGCAGCACAAGACACCAGAAAGCAAGCGGAATGAGAAGATACAAATGAGCTTCTACAAGAAAGGCTAGGCACGCAGGATCAAATTAATAAGGTGGTGTGGGCTAGCCAGGTGTAAAGCTTAGCCAATGAGTTTGCAATGGTTTAAATGTTGTTGAAGCTGTCTTGTCATGAGCTGTCTTGTCATGAGCTGCCTTGCCAAACAAACCAGCAAACAAAGCAACACACAGCCAACAACACAAGCAACGCAAGCAACACACAGCTTCTCTCCCTTCCTCCCTCTCTATATCTGTGTATGGGTTACTATCAGGATATCTCCACCTCTCTCTACATATATAGAAATATATATGTATATATATATATACATATAGTATCCCCACCTCTGTCCTGACTTGTGTTTCTCCTATCTCATGATTAGCTAGATTTTTAAGCTGAACATTTTTTGATGAGAGCAAGAGGCCAAAAGAAAAGCTGCCAAGAAAGAGAAAAGGGAATTGAGAGGTTGTGGAAATGAGTGGGATGAGCAGGCAGAAGAAGAGCTAGATTTTGAAGATGACATGGAAGTATGCCATGAGAATGAGCAAGGGCAGGGTATGGAGACCAAAGCTTGTGAGAATGAACAGAATGAGTGCAAAAAGAATGAGCAAGAAAGGAAGGGTGACAGTGAGAAGCCACCTCAGTCGGAAGAATGCTTGACACCTGTGCCAATGAGCAGGCCAGCCTCTTCAGAATCATTGGCATCAGGTCCATCAGTTGAATCTCCATTGGTTCCCAAGAATTTGTTTCCAACCCCTGGGAAGAGACAGTTAACTCTTGGAAGATTCTTCCCATCTCCAGCACCAGCATCAGAGTCACCCTTGGCATCTTTGGATGAGACACCACCTTTGCCACCTCTGAAGAGGCAAGCCAGAATCATTGATGCTGTTCATGCCCTGCTGAGGCAAGGGTCCATCACCTCAGATGGCAAGCTCATTGAGGCAAAAGATGAGGCAGCAACCAGGGTGCAACAAGAGATTGTAAGAAAGCACCCTGGTGGAAGACCTAAAAAGGATAAGCTGAGAGGTGTGGCAGGCGGGCAGAAGAGCAATGTGAGAATGAAGGGTGAGAAGCAATTGACACAAGATTTGCCCATAAGCCACAAGCATGCAGTTTGCCAGCGCTTGTTTAAAGAGAAAGAGAAGTTTGCATCAGAAAGGGACTTGGCATCAGGATAGCTACTCTGAACTACATATGGGCAAGGAGAAAGCAAAGGGCAGAAGATATGGTGAAGCATAAGCAAAGCACAAGCATAGAACACAGAGAAGAGAGTAGAGGTGCAAAG